TGTGTCCACCTTTTAATTGCAGAGACTCTAAATCTCATAACAGTGATGTCCAGCGTCCCTTTGGTCGAAACCATAAACCCTTGAGGTGATGTTCATCTTCCTTTTTCAAGCTGTTTTTCTCTGCTTCAATAAGGCATGAGATAAGCATATTTCCTTTATATATATTCCAAAGCTACAGTTTCAATAATACAAGTAATATTCTAAAATTATACTTCAAAAGATTATTATTGCAGAACTCTTTATGGATTAAATGCACGCAAAAAGCAACATCTATAACACTTTAAGTCAAATGCTCCTAAATCAACTAGGGTTAATTTGCAAACAAAAGATAGGTTCAAAAGTCTTTTTCCATGCTTTATTTTCCTCAGTTATTACTAGAATTCACAACTATCCCATTGTCGGTATCCACACATTTCTCATTCACAAGTACACACATTGCCTGTTTGTACCTGACACGAAACACAGCTTTGCATCTCACAAGGGGTTGTGAGGGGCCGTGAGGGGCTGTGAGGGGCCATGTGGGGCTGTGAGGGACCATGAGCAGCTGTGAGGGGCCCTTGCCCCTCTATGGAGAACTGTCATTCCTGTCCAGGAACCCATGGCTGAAATGGAATTCCACCCCAAAACTCCCCATATATCCAAGGGTTGCTTTCAGACAAAAGCTGCAAGGACAGACAGGTCTGGCTTGCCTTGGCCTCTGGGGACTGCTTCTCATGTGCCTTCAAAACCCTGGAGTTCTGTGATTTCCTTCCTATAGGAAAGAACTGTCCCCATTGTCCAGGTGCTCCTGGCCTCAAGCACTTGACCACTATACAGGGATGCAGTTTGACAAGAAAGTCTCACAGATGTGTATGCTTGGCTGAAAGATTTTTGAATTTAATGTCTGAAGAGGAATATAAATGAAAGCAAGTTTTGATATAAAAGAAAAGAATTGATGAGCCAGTCTTTTTGGATAGCTAAGAAGGTAAAGTGTTAGTTAGAAGGGGTTTTTCTGACTTAGAGCAAAGGATAAGCCCACCTCAAACAAGAAGATTTTACCAAGCAGAAAGATAGCACAGGCAAACAAGTCAGCAAATTTTGCAAGTAGAAAAAAGGTCTCAGAATTTTCCACTGCAAGAAAACTGGAAAACAACTTTTAGCTTAAACTGTAATGTACTAACTTTTAGTGATTGGAGAATAGTAACATGAATATGGTAATGATAGTAGTTATGATTGGCTATAGGTAAAAATTAATGTATAGATTGGTTCTATTGTGTGAAGATGCTCAGCAAAGAAAAGTATATAATGCATTTGTAACCTAAACTAAGGGTCTCCAGGCCTGCAGCTGGAGCTGACAGCTGTAGGCACAGGCTCTGTCACCCATGACTCTGGACTGCTGTATCACCTTGGATACAATAAACTGCACTTTGAAGAGCCGCCTGGAGTCCCACATCCCTCATTTCAGCTCTCACAAACTGGTGTTGCCCGGAACTGCCATTGCCCAGATGCAGAAATTTCCCAGTGCTCACAAAGCCCAAGTGCAGCAATTTGCTGGCACAGAAATCCAAAAGCTGGCAAATACCTGGGGCCGGCACCACCCAGATCTGGTGTTTTCCAGCACTGCCAGTGTCCAAACATGGCAATTTCCTGGTGCTGGCACAGCCCAATTCCAGCAAATTGCTGGCAAAGAAAGCCTAAATCAAGCAAATACCTGGATTTAAAAGGGATTTAAAGCAACCCAATCTCATGTTTGCTGACACCGCCAGTGCCCAGATCCGGAATTTTTCAGATGCCTGCACAGCATAATTCCAGCAATTTGCTGGCAGAGAAGGTTCGCATTTGGCAATTTCCCGCTGCCAGCACATTCCCCACCCAGATCTGGTGTGCACTGGCACTGCCAGTGCCCACATCTGGCAATTTCCTGATGCCAGCAAAACCCAAAGGCAGCAATTTTCTGGCAAAGAAAGCCCAAACTTGGCAGCACCCAGATCTGCTGTGTTTGGGTTGGTTTAAAAGAAGGAGACCTCGGCTTAAGGCTGTGGGAAAACCCTCTTTAGGGTGAGCAGGAGCTCCCGCCCATAATCCTCTTGTTCAGTTATGCAGATTGTTACTAGAAAGTTCTGAGTTCTCTTTGCTACCATTGGTTACTTTTTGCCCCAAAATTGTAATATTCTTAATCATTCCTTCCTCTTGGATCCTTCCCTCAGATCCCACCTTAACCCCTCCCCATAAATAAATGTATAAATATCCCTGCTAGATCCTGGACCCAGGCTTTTTTCTGCTTCGCTCTCTGTACTGTGCACGCCATCCTGTTTGTTGTGTTTGCCTTCAGTAAAGTTCTGTTTCCACACAACCAGATGAAAGCAGTCTCTGTCTGTAAAGTGGCCAGAGCTGGTTCTCAGGGAAACCACTGGTCAACGGTCCGGACGAGGACCAGAAGGTTTCACTGGTGTTTGCTGGCACTGCCAGTGCCCCGATCTGGAAATTTCCCTGTTCCAGCACCACCCATGTCCAGCAATTTGCTGGCACAGAAAGCTAAAACCTGTGGCAGCTTCCTGCTACTGGGTCTGGCACCACTCACATCTTGTGTTTGCTGCACCAGTGCCCAGATTTGGAAATTTCCCGGTGCCAGCAGAGCCCAAATCTGGCAGATTTCTGTCACTGGCAATGACACCACCCAGATCTAGTGTTTGCTGGCAGCGCCAGCACCCAGATCTGAAAACTTCCTGGTGCTGGCACAGCCCAAGTCCAGGGATTTGCTGGCACAGAAAGCCAAACTTTGGATATTTCCAGGTTCTGGCATCAGCATCATCCAGATCTGGTGTTTGCTGGGACCGCCAGTGCCCAGACTTGGAAATTTCCTGATGCCTTCACAGCCCAGGTCTAGCAATTTGGTTTTAGCTAGCTGGGGCAGAGAAGTTCCTCGGACTGTGACTTTCCTTTTTCTTGGAATTGTTTAAACCCGCTCTGGAGGGAAGTCTTTTCCTCAGCTAGTAGGGGGAGGGGCCACTGGAACTTGTTTTCTAGACTGACCCCTTTTGGAGGTTTCCTTCCAAAATTTGCCTGAAACCAGCACAAACAGTCACAATGAAAACTTCACCAGTGGCACAACTCCCCAGCCCAGCAGGAAAAGAACGGACATGTAAAGTTCTCCTAACATTTGTCCTGCTTTGCTGCAGAAGTCCTGCTGCACACACTGTGCACTGTGGAAAGCTAAGAGAAGCTGCAGCTGGTGGCAAATCTTGTGACAGAGGCTCAACCTTGTTCTCCATGAGAGATTCTTGAGAAGAGCAGACAGCAGATGATTCCTGGAAAACTGAAACAGCTTTCCAGAAGGGAAATGAAAATGAAAGAAACAATCCAAGATGTTTTCCTCTATTTATTTCTATGCTCCTCTTTTCCATGTTGCACTGCTTCTCCATCCCATTCATTCCAAATGCACCTCACCTCTAAAATCTGTGACTTGGCAAGTTTTAGACACTCTAAAATCCCATGAGCTACACACAGTTTTCCTTTCCACACAGGAAAGCAACACTGGAGGTGTAAGTGCAGTGTTTGGGTCAGGTAGGAATCCTACCCCAAGGGAAGGTGCCCTGACAGTGTCTGACCCTCAGCAAGGACAATGCTCAGCAGCAAGCGAGGGGATCGCTGTGCCAGTGTGCAGGAGTCAGGGCTCTGCATCTGGGCTCAGCGCTGCAAAGTTCCCGTGTTTGGACAGACGGAGGGGCTGTCCCCGGGGCGCGCGGGGCTCGAACGTGGGGCTCGTGGGGCGAATGGGGAACAGACACGGGGACGAACGGCCCCGGTGCTTCAGTTGCAGCAGCGGCAGCAGCGGCGGCAGCAGCAGCGGCGGCAGCAGTAGCGGCAGCAGCAGCAAAACAGATAGTTTTGAATAGTCTTTCTCTCTCTCTCTCTCTCTCTCTCTCTCTCTTTCTCTCCCTTTCCCGCTGTTGGGCACCCTACTCTCGGGGTCCCTTGCCCAGCGTCCCTCTCCTCTCCCCGCCTCCCTCTCCCGTGCCGGGCTCGGCCATGGCCCCGGCCCGCCCCCGGCCCCGGGCGGGGCTGCCCCGTGCCCGGCCCCGGCCGTCCCGCCGCGGTCTCGCCTCCGCCCGGCTCAGGCTGTACTGGCGGTGGCGCTGCTGGGCGGGCATCAGTGCCTGGGGCCGGGGCGGCATCGCCGCCCTTTGCCTCCGCCTGGCCCGAGCCCGGCCCCGGACCCGACGCAGGGTCAAGTCCCGACCCCGGCCCCGGCCCCAGCCCCAGCCCCGCCCCCGGCCCCGCCCCCGGCCCCGGCCCCGGCCCCGGCCCCGGCTCCTCCCGCGGCCCGCGGAGGACACAGGCGGCGCGGCCGCTCCCGCCGCCTCCGCTGCGGCTTCCCCGGCCCGAGCTCCGCCGCTCGGCAGCGCGGCCGCCAGCCCCGAGCCTCCCGTGCCGCGTTCCGAAGATGGAACGCCTGGGCATGGCCGGCCCGGGGCGGGTGAGGAGCGCTCGGGGGCCGTTGCTGGCCCCGGGCCGAGCGCTGACAGCCGCGTCCCGCCCGCAGGGACGGCGCAGGAGGCCCTGCAGGAGCGGTACAGGCTGGGATCGCTGCTGGGGCGCGGCGGATTCGGCAGAGTCTTCGCGGCCACGCGGCTCTCGGACGGCACCCCGGTGAGCGGCGGGGCCGGCGGCGGGCGCAGGAGGAGGGGATGGAGGAGGAGGAGGGCGGAGGGCGGAGGATGGGGCTCGCAGTGCGGGCGGCGAGCTCACCCCGCTGCTGCCCTTGGCTTGCAGGTGGCCATCAAAAGGGTGCCACGGAACCGCGTCCGGCACTGGGGCGAGCTGGTGAGTGAGCGGGGCCAGCAGCCGGGGCTGCCGGCCGGGGATGAGCCGGCGCCCGGCACGGTGGGAGCCACCAGGACGCCCCGAGAGAGAGCGGGCGTGGGGCCAGCGCAGGGCGCAGAGCATCCCGGGCTGGCTGAGGGCTTCCCCAGGCCTGGCACGGCACCGGCCCCACTGACGGCATCGTGCTCCTCCCGCAGCCCGACGGCACCAGTGCCCCGCTGGAGATTGTTCTGCTGGCCAGGGTGTCCACTGGCTTCCCCGGTGTGGTCCAGCTGCTGGAGTGGCTCGAGCTCCCCAACTGCATCGTGATGGTGCTGGAGCGGCCAGAGCGGTGTCAGGACCTGCATCATTTCATTCGGGCACGGCGGTTCCTGCCTGAGGAGGTGGCACGGGAGCTGTTCCGCCAGGTGCTGGAGGCCGTGCGGCACTGCACCAGCTGCGGGGTCCTGCACCGCGACATCAAACCAGAGAACATCCTGGTTGACCTGGACACCGGGCAGGCCAAACTCATTGACTTTGGCTGTGGCACCTACCTGCAGGACACAGTCTACACTCACTTTGCAGGTGAGCCTGCAGAGGGCTGTGCTCCCGCTGCTGACATCTCATGGCCCAACATCTCCCAGCCCAAGCTGGCTGTGGCAGTGGGGATTCTCCCTTTTGCTGCCAGTCAGGGCACTGAATCTTCAGCTGGGTTGCTTTAGAGCAGGGCTGGGTGGGCAGCCATCTTCCAGCCCTGCTGGCAGCCTTTGCCAGCCACTCTGCCCAGGACTAGGGCTGGGCCGGGGCAGCCAGCCCAACCAAAAGCCCCGTGGGTTGGGGTAGCAGAGAGGGAGGGCGGAACCTTTGCCCCAGCCACTTTGGTATGCAGATGACAGGAAGGGCTTGGGCTGCTTCACTCGCCCTGTTTCCCTTGGCTTCATATTATTTTTGGGGAAATGCAGGCAGGGAGGATAAGGGCATGTTTTTTCCCCAGCATGGAGTGGGTTTTTCCTTTGCATGTCATGGTCGGGCCTAGCCAGGGCTGCCCTCTTCCAACACCAGAGGCTTCTTTTCCAACCCTAACTTTGTGCACAAGTCCCAGATGCTGGCGAGAGGGCAGTGGTCACGCTGTGTGCCCCTGATGCAGCCCCCGCACACCCAGGGATGCTGGGGCCAGGCTCTGGGAGCAGCAGCATCCCCCTGATGAACTCCATCTGTATTCCATAGGAACACTGTCCTACAGCCCCCCGGAATGGAACGACTTTGGCTGGTACCATGGCGAGGCAGCAACAGTCTGGTCCCTGGGCATCCTACTGCACCAGATGGTCTGCGGGGAGCACCCTTTCAGAAGGGGCCAGAACCTCAGCTGGGGCCAGCTCCCGCTGCCACAAGGGCTCTCTCAAGGTGGATCCTCTTCTCTGGGCATGGGGGGAATCCCAGTGCTGGGAGCCAGCAGCGGGCTAGTGGGCATCCCGCTCTGGCAGCTGCTGAGGAGGTGGCACATGTCCTGCTCTCCTCCAAAACAGGGAATTGATGGGAAAGTTTAGGCCCAGCTCTGAGCACATCCAGCATGGCCTGGGCGTGGGAATAGTGGGGCAAAGCAGACAGGAGCCTTCTCTGGCTGACCGACAGTTTCTGCTTTCTCTTCCCAGAGTGCAAAGACCTGATCAGGTGGTGTTTATCCGTGAACTCCTTGGACAGACCCACACTGGAAGACCTGTTCTGTGATCCTTGGATGTGGGATATTCCTCTGCCATAAAAGAAGGGGGAGAGCCACAGGCACACTTTGATCCAGGGCCCTGGTAAGTTCCTGCTCCACATATGCCTTGGCAATGAGAAGCAAAGGAACCCAGAGCTTTTTGTGCTGCCTGTGTCACTGCACCGGGGTCATGGAATGGGAACACACAGCCCTTGTGCTGGAGCTGAGCTGCTCTGCCCAGCACTGGTGGCCGCCATCCCAGCTGGTTTTGCTTGTCCTGGTTCCCTGACAGCTGGGGCCCTGGGCAGAGCCCTGAGAGGCTGGTCTGCCCCCAGGGAAGGAGAAGGAGCCCCTGGAGAAGCTGTACCGGGTGGGGATGCTGCTGCTGCTGCTGCTGCTGCTGCTGCTGCTGCTGCTGCTGGAGACAGCGAGGGTGACATCAAGGATGACAAGCTCTTCCTCAGCCTGGCCACTGGAGGCTGAAGGTGGTGCACTTTGATTCTGGCACCTTCTTCAAAGCCAAACTCCACAGGGAATTTGCAGATGAGTCCCACCCGGGAAATTCTGCCAGATCTGGGCATACCCCAGCGTGGCGAGGAACCAAAGGCTCCCCCTTTGCTGGGGCAGATGCAACTCATTCTTCAGTGGCTGCCCAGCTGCTTTTGGCAGGGTGGGGCATGGGCTGGGGTGGGTACGAAATGGGATTGGGCTCCTGGCCCTGCCAACAGCCCCCAGCACCCACCGTGCCCCGGGCTGGGGCTGGGGCTGGGGCAGCCAGCCCGACACAAACAAAGCCCCATGGTGGGAGCAGAGGTGGGACTCCAGAACCTGTGCAGAGCTGCTTTGCTGTGCAGGCAAGGAAGGGCTTGGGCTGCTCCACTGCCCTTGTTTGCTTTGGGGTCACCGTGATTTTGGGGGGCAGTGCAGAGGGGAAGAGAGAAAGTGTGGGTTTCCCACAGCCATGGCTGGGTTTTTCCCTGGCATGCAGGGGTTGGGCCTTCCTCAAGACCCTGACAGAGATAAGACTTTTTACCAATTTTCTTGTTTTCCCATTTTGTCTCTAAACTCTTTTCAATAATGTGTTGTTTGTTATTCCAGAGGAAGCGTTCCAGGTGGTCCAGTGTGGATGGGGAAGTGCTTGGGAGCAGCTGTGGTGTGGATGGGCCGTGCCCCTGGAGAAGGCTGAGGCCATGGTTTGGGAGCAGCTTTTCTTCCAGCCATGGGTGGTGTGAGGTGGGTTCCCTGTGTGCTTGGCAGGGTGGGATCAGAGCTTTTGGGAGATGGCAGCGAGCACAGGAGTATCCTGCTCCGGGCAGCTGCTGAGGGCTGGATGTGCCGTGGCTGGCTGCAGGCTGGGCACATGTGCTGCCCTCCTGCTCTGTGCCTTTGGCAGCAGGGATGGGCAGCTCTGGGCACAGCTCTGGGTGCAGCCAGCATGGCCTGGGCACCGCAGGCCTTGGCACAAGGGCACAGGAGCCCTCAGCTGATGGGCACTTTCTGCTTTCTCTCCTTGCAGCCGGGCTCTGCGGGTGCTGAGGCTGCTCTGGGCTCTGCCAGGGCTCTTCTGGGCTCAGCCCTGGGCCCAGCTGGGCTGGCTCTGCCCTCACATTGCTCTGACAGCTCTGCATCAGACAAGCCCATTGCGAGCACAGTGCCTGAGCTTTCTGCTTTGGCAGGTGAGTGAGACTCTGCTGCAGGCCCAGAGATTGCAGCTGGGGACACACATGCAACTGGCAAGGACCCAAATTCTCCACAGTCCCAGCTGAACGCCTGGATCTATACAGGGTGTTTTGTGTGTCCCGTTCTTCCTTCTTGATTGGCTGGAATTGTGCAATTGCACTTTCTTCCTCCTCTAGAAGTGCCACGAGTGGGCCAAAGCTGGCGAGTGGGCCGTGTTCCTGAGGTACTGCAGTCTGGAGCTGATGGATGGAGAATTGCCCTTCTGCACTGCCAAACCAGAGCAAAAAGCTGTCAGTGGGACTTCGTGTCTCTAAGAAACTCCTGGCAGTTACAACAGGAATGTGCAGCTCATTTGCAGGGTGAGAAGGAAGGTGATCTTCTAAAGGATTTGGGGTTTGACAGAGTTTCCATTCCCAGTCCTGCTTGGAGCTGGAAGGGCACAAAGCAATTTCCTCTTGCTTCGAGCACAATTTCAAATACCAGTGTTGGGAACAAAGCCCAAAATCTTTTAAGAGGCTGCTGAGGTCAGTAAGATGGATCCATGCCATCAGCACATTTACAATGTAAAGAACTGAGTTCTCTTTTGAAAAAGATCATTTACCTCTTAATGCAAAGAATGTGTCTTTGCCTTTATGTTTTGTTTTTTTCACTAACATTGTGTTATGTTTTTTCACTAACACTTGGATTTTATTCTTATCTTTTACAATTTACCTAGTTTTTTCCTTTTTCCTTTTTTTCCTTCTAAATAGAAAACATGTCCTACAGAAGAAATGTCCTTTGCTCCTGGTTCCTGTGTGGAGCAGCTCCCTTCCTGCTGGCTGAGCTGCTCAGGCAGAGCCCGGCAGCTCCTGGCCCTGCAGGGCTGAGGCTTTTCCCCGTTGCTGGGCACAGACTGATGGAGCAGCACTGCTGAACACAGGCACACAGAGGGACCAGCAGCAGCTGCCTTTGGCCACCTGAGGCTCCAAGGCCCAAACTCTGAGCAGCCAGGGCTGGAAGAGACTGGCAGGATTTGATCCCTCTGGCCTGGGGGTGCACAAATGACCCCACAGCAGCAGCACCAGCAGCAGCAGCAGCAGCAGCAGCAGCAGCAGCAGCAGCAGATGGAGCTGACTTTGAGCACAGCCCCTGCCCCTATTCCCTCCCGTGTGCAGCGGTGTCACAGCAGCCTGAGGCACCTGGGAGCCCCCAGTGCCAGCAGGGACTGGAGATGGCAGCCCTGGGCTCCTGGAGGCTGTGCAAGGAACAGAGCTGGGCACTCCCTGTCCATGGGGAGCTTCCAGATGGAAAAGGCTGCTGTACCCAGGCAGCTCCAAGGGCACAGAAAGGAGGCTCTGGAGCACTGGATCTGTGCCAGTGCCACAGTCCTTGGCAGCAGCCAGCGAGCCCTGGGGGAACAGAGGGCACAGCAAGAGGGACAGAACCAGGCAAGGGCTGAGACTGGAGAGAGCCAGGCCTGGGAGCAGGAGCAGCTGCTCCATTGCACTCTTGGAGAAAGCTCTTGGCTGGGCTGATTCAAAGCGCTGAAAGATGTGAAGGGCAGAGAGGAGGCCACAGCAAACAATGCTCCTGTTTGCACAGCCTCCCCTCTCCGTGTCCCAGAAGGAATTGCATGGACTGTGCTCTTCTCTCCGATTCGTCTTGTTCAGCATGAGCAGCTCAGCACCAGGAGCTGAAGGAGCTGAAGCCTCAGGCCACAGGAGCTGGGCAAGAGGAGACTTTCTGAGCAAAGTAATGCTGCTAAAATAGCCCCAGCGGAATGCAGTGGATATTAGCATGGAGCCACAGAATCCTTTCTGTTGGAAAAGCCCTCTGAGCTCACCCAGTGCAGCCAGTCAGCCAGCAGTGCCAAGCCCAGCACTAAACCACGTCCCTGAAGTGCCAAGGTCTGAACACCAGCCCTGAGTGCGGCCTGAACAGCAGGCCCTGAGCCAAAGATGGCCTCTGGATGAACCTTCCAAGCAAAGGTTATCTTTGTATCTGCTCCCTGATGAAATATGCATGGTCATTAGCACTGAGATAGATGTAGCCACTCATTAGTGAAACATGTATTGACCTTTGTGTATTTAGAAGCCAGACAAGGCCATGAAATCTGACATCTGGCCTTGTTTGGGGCTGTATGGTCAAAGTCACCTCCCTTGGTTCCTCCTTGAGCCCTGGCCAGGCTTTGGGAGGAACCCAAGAGGAGGATGAAAGCAGATGTTGCCACACTAGCAGTGCTGTCAGTTTGTTCATTCAGCACTGTCAGAGCTGGGCCCTCTCCCAGCGGGGTTGGAGCCTCACCTGGGGCTGGAGGCACCTGCAGGAATTCCCAGTGCCCAGGAGTGGCTCTGCAGCCCTTGGCTGTGACAGCTTCCCCAGCTGCTGTGTGGGTCTGGGGGATGGTAAAGGCTGAGGGTAAATGCTGCTGGATCTTCGTTAATCACTGCTGCAATCTTTGGTGGTGATTGCTGGGTGCATTGCTGAGCTGCTCCTGTTGCGATTCTTTGCTGCTCTGAACTGCAGGAAATGACACTGATTCCTTCAGCTGGAGTCTGTGGCTTTGGTGCTGACCCTGCCCACTGGTAAAACAAAACTGGCACAGTCTGGCCAGATCCCAACAAAATGTCACTTGTTCAGTGTAAATGTGAGGAATCGAGCCCATCAGAAATTCCCAGCTGGGAAGCCCTTTCCTGGAGTTCCCTGGCTCTGGAGTGGGCTGAGGTCGGAGCCCCGTGGGAGCAGTGGGGCAGTCGGGTAAAAGAAGCTGCACCCCTGGATGTCTTCAAATGCAATCCAAAAATTGCACATGGAAAAGGAAAAGACCTTGTGGGTTTGGGCAGACAAAGATGAATTTGTTGAGAGTACATAGGAAACAGCACTTTCAGAAGGAACAATGATTGTTGGAATGCTCCCACATGGAGCAAGAGAAGAAGGTTTTAATCTTGAACTGATATGCATTTGTGCAAGTGAAATATCTAT